TCGTCAGACCTCTAACCATTGACCAACCTGGTATGAGAGACTCTGTGAGTGTCGCGGGACACTCTCCAGTATAGCTCAATGGATCGTTGAGGTGCGCAAACCGTCACACCACGGTAAGGTCCAGTCTCTTCGTGACGGCATCAAAAGGATGCAGTAATGTGGTGATACATCCAGCGGTTGGAAACAGTCGACCTGAGGACTGCACGTCCAAAGGCCAAAGTGGCAAATATGGCTTAGTTTTATCCAACTGATGAGTTGGTTAGACAGTTTGACTACTCCTGAAGAGTCATCATCATCATCGAACATCCGGAGACTTCTCAGTTCCGATGCTCGAATAGGCCAAGTCTCACAGCTGTACAACAGAAGGACCCGCACTGTGGCTTGATACACAAGTCCCTCTGACGCCATAGGTGCCTCAAACTACATCGACATGATGTACACAGTCATCCAAAGTAAGTAGGCCTCAAACGGACCGATTGCAACCCTATTATCTAAAATCTGATCAAATTTCAAGCCCATGATTCGACAGTTACATCTTTCATGGGGTATAGGACTTGTAATGATGTCTGATATCAGCGGCCAACCCTTTCGACCGAATGGTTTTGTGAGACTCTCTTGAGAGGTTAGTGAAAGCATTACACCGCCCGATCTCAGAAGCTGAAGCGTATGGCTAGCTTTTACTCTCATTTGCAGTCTTCAGGGTTTTGTGGCACAGTTGTCTTCTTTCTCTCGTTACTTCTCGTCCTCATGGACGACGATTACATTCACTGTCTATTGGAAGGGCAACATGATGGGGGCGTTAGTTTTTCCTGGTAACACAGCCGCTGTACGGCAGTGAAGCATCAGTATTAAACACTGATTTCATGCTGTCGATGATCTGAAGACGACGTCTGCTAGTTTACAGTCCTCTGATGATATCATCGGGAATAACAATACCACCCATGAACTACAGATAATCTTAGGCTAGCTGGCAGTGCAGCTGGTCTGGCTACTTCCACCCGTAAGGTTCTGCTCCTGCGCTCGCACCCACCATAAGTGGTAACACGGCGTGCTACAATAACTACCGGTGGGGACGTAGGAAAGAAATCTTAAAGCCAGAGCAGAGTTTGCTGTCTAATGGCAATGATGTTCGCCACCCTCAGAACGATGGTCCAGTGCCATAATACGAGCCTATGGATAAGAAACCCATCCTCACTGTCTTCTCGGACACCACTGTCTGTATACCGTTGCACACCTCTGACGGCAGATCCTAAGTAAGACTAGCCCAGCACACTGAGGAGGTCAGCGCACATCTTAAGCGTGTCTACTATGCACCCGACAAATGTCTTATTAGTGTCTGCTGGATACGATTGGGGGAAAGAACGATGGAAGAATCCAACCCGGTGGACAGGGGTGAAGGAACTAACGGTTGACCTAAACACTGATGGGTAAATTCGGCATCCGGGATGAGGTCTGAATAATTCTGAATGCTGCCGACTAGAAACTTGAGAATACGGCCCGGAATTGAAATCAGCCAAGCGAATGTTAAAAAAGCCATGGTCACTGTCGGTTGGTTGAATAAATCAAAAAGACAAAAAAGTTGCTTGTTTGTTGTCCCGCGTTTGCACATACCAGCTGCAGCTCCGAAACAAGTCCTGATTTATTGAAACAGACTTGCTGCTTTTTACAGAGTGGTTTTTATAGTACAACACGCGTGATACTTCGCTCCCCACCTGACTCAGTGTTCCTGAAAACTGTCAAAGTACAACACCAAACTTATCATGTGCAACCCATGATAGAACTGCGCGTAACGGTGGTAAAGAACAAACGGTTTTTCTTCGCCGCTTATATCCTACAAATGCAGATAGTCATCAGTAAATACAGCATCACATCAGTGTAGAAGTATTCAGCTGTAGCACCCATTCAGTGCTTAACTTCCACGCCACCAGAAGGAAGCACGGGAGCTCAAATACCGCCAGGTTGGCCAAGGCTATGCACTGATGCTTCACTCCCGTGCGACCATGATTTCTTGAAAGCCTCATTGCGAAGGATATAAAAACGGGTGAGGGAGAGACCAAGTGCAAGCCACACTCTGAGGTGCCTAAACACGTACGCGCTGTCGCCCACCTTGGCTACCCATTGCAAACGTTAGACCCTCGCATGCATGCGACGATGGACGAAGCCACAAATATCAATCCCAATCCAGCGGCTAACAACGGCACTCCATACCCGTAAACTTACGCGTTGTCTCTTATCTCGCCTACTTATGGTGGACATTGAGTCCGTCCGCACGGCTACCGCTGATTACGAGGCCCCAACAATGCCTTCGTTTAAAACTCCTCCGAAATTCTTCCGAATATCATGGAGGTAAACTGACTACTTGATGAGTGATAATATCCATCTTTGAACGCAGAGGGTTCAATGCTAAAGAGGAGTGCATACGAGTCGGTCACATGTGTCAGTCGTCGTATGAGCTTATTCGCCAGGATTCAAGGATCTCATGCATCTTCAGAGGTGTACCGATGAGTGTACCCATGGCGGCAATCCAGTAAGTGAGCAGTTGCTTTTTGTCAAACCCAGTCATTCGCAGCACTAAATCCCAACTTCATTTACTTCTGCTTCCCGATACTGATATCATGTAGCTTGATGAAAACAACAGTCCTGTCATTCTTATTACAACCTGTATCACTTGCATACTCAGACGTGGTAGCACTCTTACCAACCAAGGCTCCAGTCTTGGGCACCGATTAGCCACTGTCGTGCCCGTCTTTGTAGACTGGTCCTTTTGTGAACTTCATCATCCGACTACAGCTAGAAAAGCTTCCACGGGTTACTAGTGGAAACTACCAAACTACTAAGTGTTGTACTCCGCCAGAATTCCACCAATCCTCTCCTTGTCCCCTAAGCGGAGGACGGGCCCTTACTCTCCATCATCCATCCCATCGATGTGCCTTGTCTGACCATCCACACTTGACCGGCCTGGTCAAGCTTTTCGACCGCTAATCATTTATAGATGTGTATCCAATACCACTGGTACCATGACCTTCCCTTTCGCATCAAATGGCCCCAACGATGCGAAGTACTGCATGGTTAGAAACTCTCTTATCAGCTGCACACCTTTTCCCCAAAGACCTTCCATCCTCATGCTGAACCATCTTCAGCGTAAAAACGGAAAACATAGAAAAAGGTGGCACTTGTTGAACGCCTTCACCGATGGTTTGAGCTTGTCCTTGAAAGTCCTCTTAAGAAAATAAGACGTCATTTTAGCATAGTGAAATACGCTGTCTCATGTGTGAGTTAACGGGCCCATCAGGAGCAGGGTGTGATAGCTTGGACGCACAGGGTTTGCACTTTCCCTTAGGCCGTACCCGTGCTACGCTTCTACCTTGTACAAATATGCAGCACGAATATGCACATCATGGTTTTATCAGATCGCGTGCTTCTAACTCTAAATTCCTCCAGATCCACTAAACTTCCACGATCATTTAGCGGCACTTTCCGCTTAGCATGTAATATCAGAAAGCCATCCGCATCTTTAACCGACCTGCCTCTGTTCGCCGTAGCCCTTAAGTTGTCAACTGTTTTCCTATGAAGATCCCTTACTCCCTTCTTGAGTGAACGCCACTATACCTTTCCAAAAACTATCTGTGATGGCTTTTTAACTTTATTTTCTCCCTGACATGTTTCAGCACATGGTAATCCTGCCAACCCAATGATTACCATCCAATCATTCCTTACATGAGCGAAATAGGAAATCACGTACCCTGCGACCACAAACTGAGAACAGTACACTCACAACCCGCTTAAACTAACCAGCTTCAGGGACCACTGCACAACCGGCTACGACATTCTTCGCACACAATTTGGCTAGTGCACGTCCCAGTATCCTCCTATGGCCGCACCCATTCACATTGACTACAAACCGCTACTTGCTATAACCTCCACCTGAACTCTATGATCGTTTTTGAAATCGGGCATTGTCGCCTCACTACAGTGGTTAGGAACCGTCATCACTAGAAATGTCTGCTTTCTATTTCGGTCTGCAATCTAACCAAATCCCCATCTTGCTCTGGCGGGCCCTCTGACACCTTTTCTTCCGTTTTAGTCCCCAATATGGATACAACTGCCCTGTTGCCTCGCTTGAACGACGACAATGAACCACCCTGCACCATCGACGTGCATCAGAACATCCTTAGACCTCACTGGTCCCATTGGTCACGGTTCCCGCGCCGATCTTAACTACCCTGACAACCCCAGCTGACTGACTGCGTACCCATTCCCATATATCAACCGTAGTTCACCACATGTCTGCTATTCCCCGACCGAAGGTGTTACATGAGTCCACAAGTCCACCTCAGTCTGCTTAAGCTGTACCAGGACGCCGAAGTATTGGCCGCTTCATTGTACTATCTGCTTGTGCAGCCCGCAGACCCACCAATTCTTCATGTCATTATCAAGTCTATCACGTATGTCAGTCACTATCAACATAACGGTGGGGACCGAAACGTTGCCGTGCACCCGATATAGCGGATGTTGACCAATTTAAAAAAAAACATCAAATTTACTGGCCACAAGAACTTTTTGGCTTTTTCTAGCGTGATGCACTCTGCAAATCGGGAAACTTTTCTGCGCGAGTCACTAATGGCCGTTCTTCTGTGATCTCGCCCGAGCAAAATAACACAGTTATAGTTGATGTACCCGTTTAGGATGTTTCCAAATCCAACACAGGAGTACGCATATGAAGAAAACAAACACTTAATGAAATCTACCATCGTCTTCATGGACGCATCATTCTGAGCTATGGAAGCCATCAAAATATGAAGTAAGTCCAAACTGAACCTTCAAGAAGCTTGGAGGAGTTTTAGTAAAGCTGTCGCTGATTAGAGAGTTTTAACGGTTCCGAACAAATATCATCGAATGCTGAAATTTATGCAAAACTTCCCTCCTTTCAAACCCGGTTTCAGAGAAATTTGGGGTGTTCGTCTAATGATCGGCCATTGATCCCGTGTTTATTGATAATTTCATGAGCAATGGTCTCTTCCGTTTATGTGCAATTTCCTTGAGGTTGAGGGAAAATGTCAGCACGAACCGCGTGCACTTCGTTCCCCCTATCAGCATCCCAATTAATCCAAGACAAACTAGGTTTGTCCCCTGTAGTTCAACCTCCCTAGGATGACTGTCAATGCGTTAACGAATGCCAAAAAATCTGGAATCGGTGGTGGGCAGGAGGTAAATTTGAGTAACACCAACTGATTATTTGTCCTTAAAGTTTACGAACTACAAATTGTGTATCGAAATTCAGGCCTGTTAACTGAGGTCAGGCCATCAGACTGAGAATGACAGTTAAAGTACCACCAGGGCGGCTTCCTACACTGGCTTACGGATTGTTCCATATACGGGCATGCGGAGCAAAGCAATTAGAGATATTGAATGTATCAGAAACCCTCTGGTTAGAAAAGGCCTAACCAGGGGGCTGACCATCGATGAACTTGGATATGCTTGAGTCTGTGGAGGGTGCAGCTTGGTTGGTAAGGGTCTTTGTTGCCATACGGGCAAGGCACTCAACCAAACACCCCCAAAATAAGGATGCAAAAGAGGTAAAGAAGTACAAATATGTTAACAGAGGGCATCAGGGGATAAAGTGAGCTTCGGCCTCAGTAACAGGCATATAGGCGTGATCGCAAATATTGACATGAATAGCGATGCGACGATACCAGATATCAACGATCGTTGCTCATTATTTAGCTGCGAGAATTGAGGGACTGTAACGGGGGATTGGAGAGGGTGGATGTTGTCATACGTGAATATCTGGGGCTTGTGTTTTTCAGGTAGTGCGCGTCCACATAGGTAGGCAGTGTGAAGAGTAATGTAAAATGTGAACGAGCTTGGTCCAACACCGTGGTTACCATGTATGCGCTGCCTCAGCAAGTCAATGGGAACGGTGGTCAGTTGGTGGCAATGTTAGAAGTAGGTCCGTTGCGCCGGAGAGTATACCAGACCATAAAAGTGGCTCAAATGTCTATCACAGAGAGCCGCGAAATTGGGCCAGTATCGCAGAGGATAATTATCTGCTACCACGCCACGCGGTAAGTGCGCACAACGGGTTCTGGGAGTTGGATGAATCTTAAATGGATGAAAGTTTAAGATATACGAGGACGAGAGGTTAAAGCAAGATGTGAGATGCGTGGTAGCGTTGTGTTTGGGGTTTGATTTGATCTTGTTGCGTTGAATTCACACATTAAGGATGGGTTATAAGCTACGTTAAGAGAATAGCGTCAGTAGTGCTGCACAAATCGCCTTAAATATGTCCCTCTTAATCTACATATTAGTATGCATTTTCTTCTTTGTTATCCATGGCGTTTTTGTATTCACGAGACGATTTCCGGTGAACCGTGTTATATAAAGGACAAGCTTAAGCCAGCAGCAAAAGCATCCAACAGTAGCAGTACCCTTCTGATTGCCTTATATGAAGCCGATTACCAGAAACCCGGGGCACGGGGAATCCACTGTGTTGCTTAAGGAGTATTGTGAACGCGTTTGCATTTGAGTGCACGCCACCAGTGCGACCATCCCGCCTTAACACGGAAAAGGGGTTGTGGTGGGGCTTCTGGTGCACGGGATGCAAACGTCCAATGGTTTGATATTGAAAATAGTCAGTAACCAATTTGAAGCGTAGTCATGTAAATTTCGGGGGTAAAGCTTCGGTGCGGTGGGCTCTTTAAAAACGGTGTGCTCATTTACTGGTGCGATTTGGTGAAAAAGGTGAGCAGTCACCAAACGTCAGCCGCTGAGGTTCAGCCAAAACTCCAGAAGTAAACCAAAATGGTTGTTTACTAACTTACGCGCATCAAGGGTAATGTAAAAAACGATGATTGAACCCGATCTAAACGCCTGGATCTGGAGAAGTTTTGCTCCATGGTCCCCGGCCCTTCCTGAAAGCTCATAAGTGTGCTTGGCAAACAGATCTGAAATGAAGGCGCACTATGATGATGACTTGAACTGAAGCACACAATCCCAGCACAGTGACTCAGAAGGTTTTATGCGTTCAAATTTTCAGGCCCGGGAAGGAGCAAAGTGATAGCCGTATTATTAGCATTATACCAGTGAAAGGAAGAAAATCTCCGCTGTGGAGATGTTTATTAGAAACACCAACTGAACAGTTACACACTACTAGACAGGGAAGCAAAACTCTCATAAGCATCTTGTTTACAAAACTGAATAGCCACCTTCTCCTTGCACGTGTCTTCCTGGACTTTCCTGGATATTAATTAACTGTTGCTCAAATGCAAGCAAATGCTACAAAGCGACTCTACAAATTCCTTAATAGGTCTCACTTTTCAAGAGACGCTTAGCGGATTTAAGACAAAACATACTACTTGCATGCATCATAAGTAGTATCCGACGTTACACTAATAACTTTGCTGTAGAGCACCACTTGGGGGAGACGATGATTGCATGTGATGCATATCAGGGCCACTAGTTTCGGTTTTTTCTTCGGATATTTAGGCACCCTGCACTCTAGGTGGGCCTCGTATTTCCTGAGGCCTAATATTAAGTAGGCATCAACTATAACAAACTATACAATCCGCATCAGCCACATCAGCCAATGGAGACGACGTCGTCAAGACGGCCACCGCTGAAATTTTAGTCCTCCGAGGTAAGTAGTTCTCCCAGTCTATGGGGATACGCACTTCGTTGTTATATCTTGGTAAGCTAACATATATCTCCCTATTCTTTCAGGAAGTCAATGGCTCGACGAACGCTGCGCACCAAGAAGGCCGCACGCTTCCTGCCGTGGAATATATACCAATCAAAACGTCCAACCAAATTCAACCTTTCTCGTCGTCCAAGTTGAGCCACCGGCTCTTTTCGGTTGAGATGGATGGGCGCGTACTGGTCGTGTGCGTCCGCTAGATTCGTTTAACCTTCCGCTATGAGCGATAGCTAGTTGATTAGACATCATGGACCACTGGCCGCATGCTACTGGTGTGCGTCAGCTGGGTTCTAATTGTTGCATTTTGCGAGCAACGAAGGTCCCCTTCATTAAGTTGAGATTCATTGGTTGCCATCATAAGGGGCGGCTCACTACTAACGTCTCTGGCTTAAAAGTGTCTGGCAACCCCATGGGACCGAGTACCGTTTGCAACAGAGTATTCCAAAGCCGATAAACAGGACCCGAAAACCTTCACGGCGATATCCAGTGATGTGAGAGAAAGCGTGAACTATATGCATAGGTTATCATCAACAAACTTTACTTTCATCATCAAAAGCTTATACAAATACAGAAAGTGTCTATCTCGGTGATTACTTAGCATGACATTTCTCGCGATACGACGACGCAGATTTTGACATCCATCTGATCAAGTCAAACAGCTTCCAGCAGCCCCTTTGAAATGTACCCCGCCATCTGGAAAATCGTGCCAACCGAAACGTGAGACGACATGGTACAGCGCATTCAGCAACTTGAAAGTATCATAGACAAAAGATTCAGCTGGAAGTATGGCTGCTTGCATTGATTCGCGTTTCAGGTACGTCTCCGTCAACACCAAGTTGGTATGCACGTGGGTGCATTTTTGCTCCAGTCAATACAATGTAGGCTCCAGCAAGTTTCACAAACTGACACAGCTACATTACTACCAGCAACAACGTACGCTAATCGCGTTTTACGGCAGGTCGCCGCATCTGATTGGGCACTGTTTTCCAATTAGTGGCAATTGGTGGCCTTGAAGATTCGCTCACTTAAACAAACCAACCATATGGAGGATTGACAATGAAAACCCATTACAATAAGAGATTCTCAGGCATGAAGTGGTAACTTCGAAAACACCGTAGATTCCGAGACATGGCTCCCATTTTCTGAATGCCGAGCGGACCCAGACCATACTACGGACATCTAGGTAATAAAAATTTGTGGGTTATAAACACAAGCTATTTTAAAGAGTGTGGGCCTTGAGCCTCACCGGCGACTTATCTGGGCAACCAATTAACATTAAACAGAAAAGTTGAAGTTCAAATTGACTGGTGTTTGCACGATTTCTCATGCCGCTGGCTATTCGCACAATGAGATTGATTTCTCGAAATCTACGGCATTTTCAGACTTGCCACTTCATAGTGTAGAATGTCTATGTATAAGGTACATGCTCCTGTAGTATTAAAAATCCTTTACTATGGCGATTTGTTTAAGTGAACTAAATCTGCAGGTGAATAAACATCGCCGACTTTGAATACCTTAACTGTAA